TGGTGATGACGTGGCGGTTGGACAAGGTGTTTTGTCGCTATGTGACGTGTTGTAATTTTAGGAAAAAAGTGATCGAAAAGGCTTTAGGTGGGACTATTACGGGCAGCTCACGCCAAATAGCGAGAATGCGTTAAGGGAAGGAGGAAGGGGCAAGCTCCGGTTATTGATGGTCTCCCGGTAGAATTTTATTTTACAACATTGGGGCGGTTGATAAAGGAATTTATAGTTAGGTTAGTTAATCGATGAAGGATAAGGGGGTAAGTTGGGGGAGAAGCAGGAAAACAGCAGTTGTAGTGTTGGGTCCGAAGGTCAAGGGGCAGCCCCACCCACCCTTGGGAGTACCGAGCCCATATCATGATCGTGTGCAGACTATAAGGTGTTTGCAAAAATTTTAGGAATAGGTTCAAATGTGTTGTGGGGAGGGTGGGTGCAAAACTCAGTTTGGGTTGCCGGGAAGGTCCGATGATTGAAGACATGGGATACTGAGAAGTTTTGTGGAAGCTAAGGGTGGGGGTGGTAGGGTCGGCTCTTTGTTGGATCTAGATTGGCAGGGGAGCAATGATAGAGTGGAATGGGAGTTTGCAGGTTATACTTAGGAGACTGGGTTTTGGGGAGGAAATAGTTCGAGTGGGGTAAATAGTTGTACAAGGGGCGAAAATGAGGTAAGATTACTAGGGTGTATGGGGAGGGCAAAATTGCAATAGGAAGAGCGCCTTAGACAGGGATGCCCATGTCCCAAAATATTTGTTTGACCGTGTTTCAGGACCCTTTTATTGAAGAATGGTTGGACCGTAGCTTATGTACCGCCATCGTGAGGGAATGTGGGGGGTGGGAGGGCCTGGCCGGGGTTAATTGGATATATGTTGACGACACCATGTTCTCATTCATGAAGGGATGTCAATGGGACGTGTTGGACGAGTCGTGGTGGCGCAATTATTTGGAAGGTGCCACGGGTAATGCAGGTAATTAGTGCAGTTCAAGGTGCATGGGGTTGGTGCTTGGGTGGGGGGTGTGGGGGGAGATGTAATGTTGTTAAAGAAAGGGCTGGTGTCTTTAAAAGATTTGTCGTATTATTGATAGGGATGACATGGTTGCGGTGCGGGAGGAAAACTCACCCGCCTTTAGGCTTATTGGAAAGGATTGTGCCCCGGGCCCCCCCCCCCCCCCCCCCCCGTCTAGTCGCCTCGCCTGAGACCCCAAGCACCCTACCACTCTGGATACAGCGAGTGATAGTCGTGAACATTTTTATTGTTATAGTAAGTTTGGCATGTTGCAAACTGTCGTTCCCAATTACAGGGACAGCCGATTGCGGGATTCTAAGAGGGGTGTTCAAATTTTTCGCCGCTGGGGTTCATGTTGTGATTGGTTCGGAGGGAAGTTGTTATGTTTAACCCTGGGGGTAAGTCAGGGTGTGGGTTGGGGTTGATGGATTTGAGACGGGGGCTAATTGTGTTGTTTATTAAATGTGGGAAGTGTTGCCATGAGGTGTGAACGCGGGGCGTTTGGGAAAGGATTCACGACAGGCTGGGTGGTCGGTATCGAGGAATGGAGATGAGGGAATGTTAAATCGTTTTGAGGGCTGTGATGTTGGTAGGGAACTGAGAAATGGTTCGTATAAGGGTTTTGTGTAGGTTACTTGTGGTAGAGTGCGTTGTCCCAGTTGAGGTTTGTTCCCCATGAATGCGTGAAGAGTATTTGGTTTAGATTTAGTAAAATGAAGTTTTAAAAACCCTCGGGCGGTACGGTGATGTTTCGATTTTCTGCATGGGATCCTTTCCGTTCTTGGTGAGATATTACGAAACAGACAGGTGTAGAGGGTGGGGGGTGTAGTATCTGTGGAGGGGAATGCAGACAGCGTTCCATGTAGTTTACCTTTTGCTCCCGAAGGGCTAGAGGCTCGGTTAGGAGCTGGTTAAGTAGGTTGGTACAGAGGGTGGGGGGCCCCGTGGGCCAGTGTCGGTTTTGCCCCCCCGTGCTCGCTTTAAGTCTGATATGGGTGGGTCTAGCGAAGGGTGTCATAAGAGCTTAGATCTATATCATGGTAGATTACTATATATATCGTGGGGTGATGAGGGGGAGAGGGGAGCAGTGAAGAGCGCGAGGAAAGGAAGGTTCTTGCGGTAACGTTCTATCGTACGATGTGTCCCCCCCCCGTAACAGAGATTTGTCATTCATTCAAATTCAAATTCAATTCAAAGTTTATTTCTCTATAAGGATTACAATGCTGAGTTACAGGAAATTCGCGGTTATTGTTTGGTTTACTTGTTAGTAAAATTGAGATTAACAGAGTGTACCACTAGAACGCTTAGCATGGATAGGCATTTCGGGCATACTTAGTTTTATTCTTAAATGTAAATATTACAAATTATGAGGTAAGTGGTATTATGGCTAAGTGACTAAATACTATTTTGTGAGTTTAGCAATGTGAATGCTTTTGTTTTGGCGCAGTATATAGTTTCAGTATTGGAGTATCACAGGATTCATTATTTTAAGACTGAGATTAATATTTCTGTTTATGGTCAAATGAGTGAGCGATTGTAAGTGTGAACCACCAGGTGGTATTCGTGAAGTTAGTTGACGGGGTGTATCAGGGAGATAAGATGTTTTCTAATGTAGTTTTGAAGGTGATGAATGTGTCTGCAGTTCTAGAGTTCTCAGGTAGGGTATTCCAGATTTTAGGGCCTTTGACATACATTGAATTTTTGTAAAGGTTTAGTCGGACACGGGGAATGTCGTAGAGATGTTTGTTTCTGGTGTTATGCCTGTGGGTTCTGTCACAACTATCAAGAAAGCGTTTTAGGTCAAGGTTGATATTAGAGTTTAAGGCCCTGTAGATATAGATTGCACAGTAGTAAGTGTGGATGTACTGAACTGGGAGTAAGTTTAGATCTTTGAAGAGTGGGGGGGTGTGCTGCCAGGGATGGGAGGAGGTGGGATCAGGCTTTCTCAGAGGGGTATAGATTGCTAACGTTAGGGATTCTCGTAAATCTGTTGATTGATAATGAGTGAGTGAAGGGGTTTTCATAGGTTGGAGGGAGTCAGGGGGTCACAACGGGCTCGCCTCCCTGGGGGGGGGGGGGGGTGTGAGAGTGTTGTGAATGTGGGTTTGGAATGGTGTCCTGGTTTTCATTGAGACTTTATGGCATCCAAGTGTGGATGTAGAGCTCAAGGTCTCGTTATGTTAGATATAACACTTTTCAGAATGTAGGTATAATATAGTAGATTTTTTTATGTATAATTATGATGTGTATCAGTCTTGTATAACATGATTCTTGAGAAATAAGTTCTTTACGACATGAAGTGTGTTTTAGTTTGTATTTATGTTACGTGCTGGGTTTTTGCACGATGAGATATACTTATATCCTGTTTTGCTTTATGCATACAGTGCATCTGATTAATGTGATTTTGTGAAAATTTTTGTGTGTACGTGTGGGTGTGTGTGTGTGGATGTGGGTGTGTGGGTGTGTGGGTGTGTGGGTGTGTGTGTGTATATATATAAATATATATCCCTTTCTATTGTATTGAGCCTTTGTCATGGGTCAGACGTTATGTAATACTTTATATATGCATGATTGATTCTTTTTAAAGTTTATAATTATGGTCTGTACCCTGATACCGGTTTGGTGTCAATGCTAGGTTCTTGATGTTAAGTTTTAGTCTGTATGGTATACAGACATATCTAGACAGTTTAGTAACGTAGTCCATTTGTGTCTGAGATTTGTATATGGGTTTATTGTAACAGTATAGAGCTTCAGTTATTGTGTTCTAAGCTGTATTCTTTTCTGTTTATTTGTATGTTGGTATATGTAAAGCTGTATTGTTAGGGATAAGTATGTAGATGTTCTAGTAAGATTATGATGTTAGGTTTTGTTTTTTTGATTAATGTGAAGGATGGGATTTAACTGATATAACTTCTTTGTATATTTCATGTTCAAGTGTATCGAACCTTTGTCAGATGTCATTTATGTGTACAATTTATATATATGCAAGGTTTTGTATATATGTCAATTCATGACCCTGTGACATGTAATTTTTTTAGCTATGTTCTTGCTGTAAGTTTTTGTTGTATGTTTGGCAGCAATACCTTGCGAGCATGTAGGTACAAGCCGTTTGTCAGTTAATTTGATTAGGTTCCATACTGTTTCTTTATTTTTATGTTAAACTGTATTGGTTTTAAATAAAAAAAAAAAAAAAACTAGCCACTTCGGTGGCAAAAATCTAAATCTAATCTGGGAAGGGCTCAGTAACAGTGCTCCAAGTTTAAAAGTGTCAAGGTATATGCGCTACAAATTTATACTTTTAGCTAACTAGTCATGACCCAGCAAAAACTGTCTGGGTTGACTGTCAGCTGCATTTGATACTTAACAACAGAACCACCAGTCATTACCACCATCACAAAATAGTGATCACTACCAACATACCAAGGTAATATTTATCAACAGCAACCTCTCCATGGTAATATCTAGCATCAGTAAGCAACCGTGGTAATATCTTATCACTGGTACTAAAACGAAAATAAACTTGGGCGTATCACTACACTCAACCATCACACCCAGGGCCAGGAGCTGAGTCTCGACCTCTGCAACCACAATTAGGTGAGTATCCATCCCCTTACACATCCTTCTCACTTATTTCTCTTATCCATCCATCCATCACCTTCATCTCCGGTTATCAGCATCATAATCCCCTATTTATTTATTTATTATTTATTTATTTGTTTATTTAATAATTTGAACATACATACATAGGTACAAAAAATACAGGTAAGAGCAGCATGCCAAAGCCATTAGTATGCATAGCATTACGGGCAGGCTTAAAATTAACTTAAGATTAACTAAACAATGATGTGATCACCATTATCATCATCCCCAGCTATCACTCACCCCTGGTCATCACCACCATCCCTGGTCCTTACTATCACGTACACAACTCATGGTAACTCTGTGCCAAACAATCAAGTGAGGGTTTAGTTACTGGACACTTCACCCTCCATCACTTGCCTGTGCAAGGTTGGTAAGGCTTCACGTCCAGGACCCGGATCTCCTTGATGCAACAGCGGTGGGAGGCCTTCGTTTTATCCTCAACCCTCGCTTCCGTCTTCATTTCAGTTTCTATTTTTGTCTCCGTTTCCGTATCGGCGGCCGCAACTTCTTGGGAGACGTCTACAGCTGCACTCATCTTCTGCGCCTCCGTCAGTAGCTCTGAGACAACATGTTGTCCCAAGAACCCGCTTCCTCCTGGAAAGGAGAAGACAGTAGGTTTGAAAAGCTCGATGAATATAAGTACAGTGAAGTCTACCCATGCTAGGCAAGTCTAATTCGTACTTAACCACACCCACAGAAAAGGGTGTCGAAGTTGATCCCATGCACCAGAAACCTTTCCTACGAAGATAGGCTAGAAAGATGTGAAACTGGGGGAAAACAGGAATAAACAAGGAGGATAAAAATTCAACTAGGACACATTTTGATTTAGAAAGGATATAAGGAAATACTTGTTTGGCAATACCGTCACTGAGGCAAGAACTCTGAGTAACTTTTGAATATAGTTAGATGGGTACATGAGTGGGTGTGGCTGAGTGTGAGTTCGACCTTTCCAGCATGGGCAAATATACCTACTGAAGTGTGTTCCTTCATTCTTGTTTTCTTATGAGTTGAAGTGGTTAGGAGTGAACTGTACCTGCCTAGCATGGACTAGAAGGCCTACAGTAGTGCTTCTTCACTGTTCTCATGACGTTACTTAAGAGTTTGTTTCACTTCTCTACAATTCTATTGCCAAACCAATACTTCTTTATATACTCTAAATCTAAATTTGTCTGACTTGAATTCAATGTTGCGAGTCCTGTCTTGGTTAGATATTATCAACATATTTATATCCACTTCATTTATTCTTCTTTTCCATTTGTATACGTCAATCTCCCCTAATTTTACATCTTTCCAGCCAGTGCAAGTTCGGTGCCCTCAGCCTATCTTCATGGGATCAACTTTGCCATCCTTCTCTGAATATTCTGTAACGTATTGATGTCCATCCTGTAATGTGGAAAGCAGAACACGGCAATGCGTAAGATTATTATGGATTTTTAGCATTACTCTTCCACACTCCGGCAGTCTCCCACCGAGGTAGGGTGACCCGACGAAGAAGGAAACTATTTCAGTGTCACTCATTCAGTCACTGTCTTGCAAGAGGCACATTGATACTACAGCTCTGGTGGCCTGGTGGCTACCGCTCTCGTTTCACACGGCGAGGGTCTGGGTTCGATTCCCAGCCAGAGTAGAAACATTAGGCCTGTTTCTTTCCACCTGTTGTCTATGTTCCCCATCAGTAAAATGGGTACCTGGGTGTCAGTCGACTGGTGTGGGTCGCATCCTGGGATACTGACCTAACAAATAACAAGGGGCATTCTATGTAGTAGTATGTCATTGTTGTCAGCTAGGACTGTATGCCTTGTACATGTACTTGTAGCAAATAAAGGTATTATTATTATTACAGTTAAGATGACCTTGCAGACCGCAATATCCCACCCCTCCTTCAGTGTATATATATATATAATGTGCTCACCTAGTTGAGGTTGCAGGGGTCGAGTCCGAGCTCCTGGCCCCGCCTCTTCAGTGATCGCTACTAGGTCACTCTCCCTGAACCGTGAGCTTTATCATACCTCTGCTTATGTATGCATGTGTGTGTATGTACTACTTTTTCACACAAATCACAAAGGAGCTAAGAGCTGTTATCCTACCTCAGGTAATTTCAACGCTCACCCTTATCTATCACCCCTCCCCCAGAATGCAACCCATAACAGTCAACTAGCTCCCAGTTCACTGCTAGGCGAACAGGGACAGCAGTTGTATGGAAACAAGTCCAGCGTTTCCACCCATGCTGGAGATTGAACCACGGGTGCTCGAGGATGTGAAATGACTGTGTTTCCAACATAGCCAGTATTTATTTCTGTGGGTTTAGTCATTAAGCTTTACATATTCGACAAATTTTCCAACACTGTCAAAAGTAGTCACTGGAACAACATGTACGAATCAGTTTCACTGGTACGAACACTTCTGAGAACCATGTAAGACGAAGCCTCGGAACATATTGAGCTCACACTCTAGAAGCAGAAAGAGAAAGAGGTGTGTTTACTGTTCGTATTGGTAATGACACATGCAATTCGAATAATCAGTGCAGTAATCAGCCTTTGGGCTGTGATCCATCCATTTTAGTTCACTCAACCCCTGGAGATGACTACTGGCGACTGCCGTAGACGCGTGAGTTAGTTTTATGCTTTTCTTTGTGCTCTGTACCAGTCCCTCCTGATAAGTTGATATGTTAGCCAAGAAAAATACCCAGAATGGGAATGTAGAATGTAACTTTGGTATATCTGTGTCTAGCATTAGGAAGAATATTAGTGGAGAAGTAAATCATGAAAATGATTGTTATAAGAATGCAGTTAGAAGCCACTATGATAACATGAGCATAGATAAGTATGTTCATGGAGCAACTTGCAATGTGAACAGACTGACTGATGTTGTAGTGGCCAGGCTTAGGCTTGGTTACAAGTACTTCTGGCAGTTTGGGAGACACACAGATGATGATCAAACTATGTATATGTAAATTATGTGAGCAGGCATATGGTCACTGTCTTTAACACTATGTGCTTAATTGTCCACTTATTTAGGAATACAGAGACAGTATAATAACCTATGTGACATGTCAAGATATCTTATTAATGAAAATAAGATACCAGATATACTAAGCAAATTTCTTAAATTTGCTTGTAACAGATAATTGAACTATAGATATGTAGATATAAATCCATATGTATTCCTGTTAACCCTTTAGGGCCTAGTTCCTGGGCCTTTTGTGTATCCATATGCTCTTGCGCTACCATCCACAGGATGGATATTGGGTGCACAATAAACTAGCCACTTCGGTGGCAAAATCTAATCTATACCAGTCCTGAATACGGTAATCTGTCCCCGTATCTATCCTGTGGGGCTGTAGTTGCTGACCATACCCATCCAGTGGGTGGCTGTTGCTCCCCATACCCATCCAGTGGGTGGCTGTTGCTCCCCATACCCATCCAGTGGGTGGCTGTTGCTCCCCATACCCATCCAGTGGGTGGCTGTTGCTCCCCATAATCATCCTGTGGGCGGCTGTTGCTCCCCATAATCATCCTGTGGGCGGCTGTTGCTCCTTGCACCCATCCTGTGGGGGGTAGTTGGCACCAAGGTGTAGACAGCTTTCACTCTCCATACCCTTCTCATTAACGGTTTCACTCATATTGTCAGTAGCAATTACAATCTTTCCCCATTAATATTTGTACGTTGGTAACATCTGCGATTTTTTTATGCGTTACGTAGTATTATATAGATTTTAGTTGTCTATAAGGTAATGAAAATAGGTAAAATGGTTTTGTTTATGGAAATAATTTTTAATAAATATCTTACTGGGTACTCGTGGGAAGGAGCACAAGCTGGACTACTTGGAAAAAAAAAAGTAATTTTTGGTCAAATAAAGGAACAGATGAAAAGTGATACTTTAGAGCCGGTGACCTATAAGCGTATAGCTTTTTTTTTAGTCCCTTTAAACAGAAGTCATACCTTGCAAACTCATTATAGCTGAATGACTTCCTTTTTCAAGTTCACATTGAAGTATACAGCAATTATATCAGCATGACTAAAAAAAAAATTTTTTATCCACTTACTCCTCGACAGAAACTTCAGGATAATATTGTGGGATAATGGTACTCTTGCACGGTAGCCCGCGGCCTGGTGCCAAAAGCTCTCGCTTCAGACGATTAGTGTCTGGGTTCGATTCCTGGCAAGGGTAGAAACATTGGGAGTGTTTCCTTGTCTATGTTCACCCATCAGTAAAATGGGTACCTGGGTGTTAGTCGACTGGTGTGGGTCGCATCCTGGGACAAAAATGACCTATTTTTTTCCGAAATGCTCTGCACAACAAGCGGCTTTCTGTATAGTAATATATCATTGATGTCAGCTAGGACTGTATACTTTGCACATGTACGTGTAGAAATATATGTTATTAAGAGGGCACACAAATTAAGCAGGGGATGGTAGGCAGCGATTATGTTTTTAAAAGTTCAGAACAATTATAAGCCTGCTAATTATAAGATCACATGAAGGACCTTCAACGGGAGGGGATGAGTAGATACTTTGATCCTGGTGAAGGATTCTTGAACCAAGGAATTAAGAGCTTTCCTTCCCTTGGATTAAATCCGATTATCTGTCATTCCCCAGGTGTTGTAGTACCTGTGCGGGTTTAACACTTTCCCGTAATTATAGTCAGAAATAAGTTTATCATAGGAAACTACCTAAAGTTTCGTTGCTAATTTTCTTTTAAGGTATCTAGAGATAAAGGGGAAAAATCACGGAAGTATTTCGACGCGAAACATACACGAGATAATTAAGAGAACCCAAGCTCATCAAAGCTCAGTCAGGATACAATGACAACTTTGTGTGTTCCAGTCGCTGCTCTGAGTTGTTTTCTCAGTATCGTATAACTCTGCTCCCTCTACTTCCACGCATGCAACTGCTCTACTGTTTGTGCCTTAAATCTGCACTGTATGACCCTTATAGGTTTAACGCTTCTTTATTATAATTGTGCCATAAATCTATAAAGGCCCCCACCCCCCTCACGCTCGTGCTCACGCTCGTTGTGCTCCCGGTTTTTTCTGGTGTTTTCACGGTCGCTCTTACGTGCTAGAACTTTAATTTGTGTCATCAATCCTATACGATACATCCCTCTAGCGCCTGGAACAAATCTTGGGCGGAAAACATTATATACTGAGTCAAAAAAGGAGAATTAGTGTGCACTTCCTAGCAGAGTTTACTGCCAGAGGGGAATCATAGGCCTGTCCCGTGTGGAAAAATAATAATATTGAACTTTGTGTCAGAGGAAAGAAAGTCTCCCTGAAAGCATTGAGTATACATAGTGTATAGTGTATACTACAGTGGCTCCCTAGTATATTGATGATAAAGGCTAAAGTGTCATTTGAAAACAGGTGATTTGTAAATGAAGTGATAAGCCTATAGAGGCAGGTGCCAGAAGTCGCCAGAAACTTACCACAGGTCAGCTGTTTTTAATAATCTTCCTGGCTTGCTAGTGTACTCGCATATATCTAGTGATACCAGTGAATAGCAGAATACAGTGTTGTAAGTAGCAACTAACCAGTATTATAATGGTACTTAGTGAAGTGGAGTGACTTTCATTAGTTTCTTTTTCTTGAAATACCAGACGTTACTGTGAATTTCATATAACCTGTAGTTACCAGCGGTCGCAATATACACAACGAGAAGCAATTATTACTACAGAAAAAGCGCCCTTCCTCCAAAATTTGCACCAGTCAACTATAGTGATAATATAGCATTTATTGTGGTGGAGACGGAAAAAAAAAATAGAGAAGCTAGATACAGCGATTGATAAACAAAGGTGGAGGCTCGACCGTTCGTCATTGTAGGAGTGCCAGCAGTCACCGGCTCTTCAACACGCAAGTTAACTTTTGTATCAATCAAATCACATATTACTCGGGTAGATAATTTCCAGTAGATCCTTCATGTGTTAGCTCAAATCACGACCAGTATGGTTTTAAATAAGTGACCCACTGATCAGATCAGATAGACTGGTCCGAACCCTTGACTGGTCCGAACCCTTGACTGGCCCGAACCCTGGACTGGTTTCAAACGGTTTCGTTGTGCCCACCTAGCAGGTTATTAATAGAATATTCAAGAGGTTGCTAGTAGAATTGCAGTAAATAAACCATTCAAATCATTATGAAGCTGTGTGTAGTCTGTGGTCAGTCAAACAACGGGCTTCCACATGCATAAATTGTCATTTCTGTGGAAATTGGTGTCACGCCCCTTGTGCAGATATCCAAGAACTAGCTACAAGCAGTATTAAAACAGGAAGTGTTTTTGGGTATGCCCAATGAGATAAATCTGTGGACAAAATCACAAGGGTATAAAAGAGGTCAACATCAAAGCTGCTTTCATAGAAAACCTGGAAGCTTTCTACAACAGATGGGAACATAAAAGTCCGGGCTGAATGGTACTGCCCTTGATACTGGCCATGTAGTCAGAAACTGTAAGGCTGGAGATGATGTCCTGGTATGTCAGTAAATGGGGGGCTGATAGTGCTGTCCTGGGAGACAGTAATGGGGAAGCTGGAGGTGCTGTCCTGGGAGACAGTAATGGTGAAGCTGGAGGTGCTGTCCTGGGAGACAGTAATGGTGAAGCTGGAGATGCTGTCCTGGGAGACAGTAATGGGGAAGCTGGAGATGCTGTCCTGGGAGACAGTTAATGGTGAAGCTGGAGATTTTGTCCAGGTAGTCGGGAACTATATGCAGGAAGGAATACATATGAATGACCGCATAGGGGACAGGAGCCATAGTAGGGAAACAAGTGTAGTCAAAGATAAGATAAAACCAATATTGCAAACAAGAAATACCGCAGGAAATAGCAAACAAGAGGACTCCACTAGCAATAGTGAGGATATATTACCAAAAACAAATGGTGGGAGCTCCATGTTGGTGCTAGGGAGGATAGAAGTAAGACAGGGAAACATGCACCAACAGGGAATACAGTCACAGAAACCCAAGGCAAACATACTATGCACTCTGTATCTGCTGGCATGGGAAATCTGGAAAAACAGATGGGACGTGCAACTATGACCACCCTAGGAAATGCCATGCCCATATGACAACAGGAAAATGCAAACTCCCTTCCTGTAAGCTTTTTCACCCTGAACTGTGTACCTCTTCAGTACAGGAAAGACTGTGCTATAACTTAAATTGCCAGGCATACCATCTAAAGGGGACAAAAAGATACAAAACATCCAGGCCATGGGAAAACCTGGGTAGCCACAGCCACTCAAGAGGGAGAGGTTTTTTAGTGCCAGGAAGGAAAAAAAACTGGCAGGAAATGGCAGAAATCGTACACCAAATCCAGTCATTCCTGGAGTGGAACCACAGTCGATGGCTCCACTCCAAACCAACAGATACAGATACTAATGCCGGAAAAAAAATCCCCCCCCAGTACCAACAATACCACCAGTCCGATAACATTCTTCTTTGCAAAATATACAGGGTCTAAAGCCAGCAACAAACAACAAATACCTTTCATCCGTGGACTGCTTGCAGAGGCAAAGGCAATGTTCGCGGCTTTCACTGAGACCCACATAAAGGATCACTTAGACAACGAAATATGGATCCCAGGTTACAACCTATACAGATGTGACAGAGTGAACAGGCAAAAGGGGGGGGGTTGGCCTGTACATTGCAGAGTCACTTGTTTGCACAGAACTGCTAAATGCCTCAAATGATGTAGTGGAAGTTTTAGCAGTAAAGGTCGAGAAACCAAAACCTAGTCATTGTGATAGTCTACAAGCCTCCGGATGCAACATCCAGCAATTCCAGGAACAGCTGTTAAAAATTGACCACTGTCTGGAAAACCTTCCAGCTCCTGCACCAACATCTGCTCCTGGGGGATTTCAACTTAAGGCACCTAAAATGGAGGAATATAGCAAATAATATTGTTGCAGTAATAACACCAGGAGGCAGCTCTGATGAAAACTCACACTCACGCGAGCTTTTAAATCTCTGCACAAAATTCAATTTAAACCAGCAAATAATAGAGCCTACTAGACTGGGAATACACTAGACCTCATCTTCACTAACAATGATGATCTGATAAGAAATATCACCATATCAAAAACAATATACTCAGATCACAACAAAATGAGGTTCAGTCATGTATGCGCGGAGCCCCAGACCGACATAATGAGATTAGTCACGAGGGAGCATTCACCAAATTCAACTTCAATAACAAAAACATAAAGTGGGACCAAGTAAACCAAGTCCTAACCGATATAAGCTGGGAAGATATACTAAGCAACACAGACCCAACTTATGCCTAGAACAGATTAACTCGGTAGCAACTCGATGTATGCACAAGGCTTATTCCTCTAAGAAAAAGGAGGAGTAGATGTAAAACAGAAAGAGACAGGCGCTCCCTTTACAGGCGACGGAAAAGAATAACAGAGCGGCTAAAAGAGGTCAATATATCTGAAATGCGTAGGGAGACACTGGTCAGAGAAATAGCAAGCATCGAACTTAAGCTAAAAGAATCCTTTAGGAGTTCCAGGAATCGCGGGAGAACTAAAAGCCCATAATGAGTATCGAAAGAAAACCCAAAGTATTTCTTCTCCTATGCCAAATCAAAATTCGAGAACAACGTCCAGTATGGGCCCCTACTTAAACAAGATGGGGTCCCCCCCCCTACCACTCCAACCCACACCCCAAGGATCCACAACCCCTAACAACCCACAGATGACAACAAGGAAATGAGTGAGATACTCAAGTCCCAATCATGACTCAGTTTTTAGCAAAGCCGCCTAACCAGACTGTGAGTCGAAGATCAAAATTAATTTTTTATGAGAGAGCCACAAAAATTTGATTAACACAAGCTATCGATGGTATCCTGACGGCCAAATGACTTAGAACAGGCGAATTAAATGATTGCCCATGCACTCTGCCAAGGGCCTGACTCATGGAACTCTGTGTTCATCAAGAAACTGCAAGAAGCCCCTATCACGTAGCCTTTTCCATTTTTTTTTTTTTTTTTTTTCCCTTAATTGGTGAGGGAGCATGGGACACGGGGGGGTCGTCCCACAGTTTACTTAAAAAACAAACAGACATAGCCCCACTCCACAAAGGGAGGCAGTAAAGCAACAGCAAAGAACTACAGACCAATAGCACTAACATCCCATATCATTAAAAATCTTTGAAAGGTCCTAAGAAGCAAGATCACCACGCATCTAGAAACCCATCAGTTACAAAACCCAGGCAAACATGGTTTAGAACAGGTCGCTCTGTCTGTCTCAACTATATGGACCACTACGACAAGGTCCTAAATGCACTAGAGACAAAAATAAAAAGAAATGCAGATGTAAATATATACAGACTTTGCTCAAAGCGGGTGTGACCATGGCGTAATAGCGCACAAAATGCGTGCTAAAGAAAACAGGAAAGTCGGTCGATGGATCTATAATTTCCTCAATAACAGACACAGAGAGTAGTCGTCAACAGGTAAAGTCCGAGGCGTTCACGGTGAAAAGCTTGTTCCACAATGCACAGTACTCGCTCCCATCTTGTTCCACTTCTGATATCCGGACATAGACAAGGATGTCAGCCACAGCACGTGTCTTCCTTTGCAGATGACACCGAATCTGCATGGGAAGTGTCTTCCATTGCAGACACTGCAAAGCTCCAGGCAGACATCAACCAATCTTTCAGTGGCTGCAGAAAACATATGAAGTTCAACGATGAGAAATTTCAATTATCAGATTTGGTAAACATGAGGAAATTAATTCTTCATCGAGTACCAAAAACAAATTCTGGCCACACAAAATAGAGGCGAATCACCATCGTCAAAGACCTGGGAGTGACATTGTCGGAGGAATCTCACCTTCAAAGGAACCATAACTCATTGTATCAATCGCATCTGCTAGAAACAAAAATGACAGGATGGATAATGAGAACCTTCAAAACTAGGGAGGCCAAGCCATGATGACACTCTTCAGGTCACTTGTTCTATCTAGGCTGGAATATTGCTGCACACTAACAGCACCTTTCAAGGCAGGTGAAATTGCCGACCTAGAAAATGTACAGAGAACTTTCACGGCGCGCATAAACGGAGATAAAACACCTCAATTATTGGGAGCGCTTGAGGTTCCTAAACCTGTATTCCCTGGAACGCAGGAGGGAGAGATACATGATTATATACACCTGGAAAATCCTAGAGGGACTAGTACCGAACTTGCACACGAAAATCACCCACTACGAAAGCAAAAGACTTGGCAGACGATGCACCATCCCCCCAATGAAAAGCAGGGGTGTCACTAGCACGTTAAGAGACCATACAATAAGTGTCAGGGGCCCGAGACTGTTCAAACTGCCTCCCAGCACACATAAGGGGGATTACCAAACAGACCCCTGGCAGTCTTCAAGCTGGCACTGGACAAGCACCTAAATTCAGTTCCGGATCAGCCGGGCTGTGGCTCGTATGTTGGTTTGCGTGCAGCCAGCAGCAACAGCCTGGTTGATCAGGCTCTGATCCACCAGGAGGCCTGGTCTCAGACCGGGCCGCGGGGGCGTTGACCCCCGGAACTCTCTCCAGGTAAACTCCAGGTAAACCTAGGAGAAAAACTGATCTCTCCTAAGAGGTCCAGGAGCAGGAGATCAACACCTCTGAGAGCAGTAAGGGCTTTAGCTTTACATAATCAAGTCCCCTCAAGGAAGGTTCCTTGATGTTGGTGAGGGGCTCTTGATTTAGGGAATTGGATCTGTGCTCCAGTTCCCCGAATTAAGCCTGAATGCCTTCCACATCCCCCCCCCCCCAGGCGCTATATAATCCTCCGGGTTTAGCGCTTCCCCTTGATTATAATAATAATAATAATACATAATCAAGTCTACATGAATGGTATACAATACCGACAAGATGAAAAATTAGACACGAGTGAAACATCTGGGTATCTTTATTTGTAGAAGTTTCGCCATCCAGTGGCTTTATTAATAAAGGCTGTAGAACTATATACAAAACACGAGGTAATCATTCCCCGTCTTGGAGCTGGTAAGGAAAAACCGAATCTTGAATCTAAAAGCCAGGTCTCAGATTCTTAAAGATTACGGTACTCTTCAACTCCAAGGCTGAGGGACTGATTACCTCGTCTTGTATATAGTTCTATAGTCTTCCCACTGTGCCCTTGAAATTTATTTAAAAAGCCAGTGGTGGCGAAAAGTTTACAAATATACCCCCAAAGTTTTACAATGTCTATTTTTCACATGTTTATCAGCCTCAAAAGGGCCAGGAGCTGTATATAACCTTAAGCCCAGAAGCTGGTACACATTATTATTATAAAGCGCTAAACCTACAAGGGTCAAACAGCGCAGCAGGACAGGGAAGGGTGTAGGGGTATTGGGTAGCAAGAGGGACAGAGATTATTATTAGGTCATGGAGTATAGCAGGACAGTGCAGGGAAGTTGGTACGTAGCCAAAATGAAGATACGAAACTAGGGTGGTTGCCATCTATTGGCTAAAATGTTAAGTAGTATTTTTGTAATATTTTTGACCTTCATGACTACATAAATATCTCATTGTAACCAGATAAAAACATGTAAACAGTTCATTACCAGTTTAACTTGTTTAGCTAATATAACTCTGCGACCCGGCTCCTGGACCCATTATCTGCCTCTGTAATCTGTAGGCTAAATTAGATTGGCTGTCTGTAAGCCGCTATCTTGAGCATAACGTGATGATAATGCGTCATTCTGAGGGGAAAGGAATGTTAAGCTTGTTGATATAACTTTCACTATACACCTCATATGAAACTCGGGGCACCTGTTCTTTGAAAAATTTGCTAGACCTAGGATAAATTGCTAGACCTAGGATAAAGTAACAATGCTTGAATAGGCTCAATATTCTATTTTTTATGGCATGTAACATAGTCAGTATCCCCTAAGTGCATATAAAGGCATTTCCTAAACAATACATGGTTTAGAATAAACGGGATGACAGTTTTCAGCTGTATGCCATAATTCCTAAGTGGTCGTTCTACCAAGTGACAGCCATGAAGAGTAGGGGAGGGGTGGTCTTTGGGTCTAAAGCCCCTAGATAGGGCTGGGGCTTTGAAATGAGCCTAGGTAGGATAACAGTTAGCATGTAAAATTGATTCGTGTAAAAAAAAAAAAAGCCCCCCCCCCAGGCAAATTTTTATACATATTTTTCAATTAATGACCAATTTTCATTATACTGACCAGTGACTGCAAGAACACCATAGTTAAAGGAATCTCGTGTTGAAAATCGTTTGTTTTCAAAGAAATTTCTTTGATTATTGTCAACATCTTGTGATTTTTTACTCTCCTTCCCCAAAATGAAATCCTGGTTGCTCTACCGCCTTCCCTCCAAATTCATTGTAATGAAATTCACAAATTAGACCCTACTTAGCCCAATATAAATTCTAATCTTGCATAAGTTAATATACACCAGCGTTGAAAAAAAATATTCTGACGTTAACGCGCACAAACTAATATCCAAATGTCAATAAAATTGGGATTGTATAGGAGAATGTGTAGGCGCAGCACACTGATCACCAGTATGGGCCTTTCTGGTACAGACATAGCAGTGGGTTCGAATCCTTTCCGGCCATCCTTTCCACTAAGTATGACATACCAGTGTTTGATCAGTTTAATATCTTGTACACCCCATGCCCATGCCCATGGCGTGGGCGGCAGTCACTCCATGCCCATGGCGTGGGCGGCAGTCACTCCATGCCCATGGCGTGGGCCCCGGCAGTCCTCCTTTGCCCAATGTGGGGGCCAGCTAAAAGATCAGGGGCACATGGGTCTAATTTCGATGACAAAAAATTTACTGATAATAACTATTTCATTATTTAATTTTTTGGTTACAATCGTAAAGATTTATTTTAAACATTTTTTTCAAAAAAAAAAAAAAATACAAAAACACTTTATATTTTGAAAGATGTGCTTGTAACAGAATAAGTAAGTTGATTCAGGTATACACAAATAGTTACATGATTTCAACATACAGATATGTGTCGAACCGGGTAACCCAATACAATCACTGATTTTCTGGGTTATCCAGGTTCTCTCCATATGCTGTATGTATGATAATCTATGCAACTGTTTTTCTTATTTGTGTATACCTAATAAATTAAAGGGCCAAAAAATGAATTCTAAAATTATCGCACGGAAACCCTACGCTATTGCAATTTTAAAATTGAAAATTCTCCATACTTTTTCTCAAAGATGCCCTTTCAACTTAATGCGGGAAAAAGGGGAAAAAACCCACCGTCACCACAGATACTTTCTTTTGGCAAAAACTAATACCAAAAAAAACACTGGAAAAAATATTCGTAATCGTGTATTTTGTATCAGACTGCACGTAGTATAGCCCTTTGGCTTAGCGCTTTTTTTTGTTTATAATAAAAATTGTAAGATTTAATCAACGTGAAAATAAATAACACATTTTTCAGGTTCGTGACTTGGGAAGTTTTAACTAAAACTCATTTAATTAACGGAAATAGTTCATTATTGAGAAATTTTTTATCAGTATTTGCACGCACTCGGTATTCTGATTTCACCTACAGGTGGTCAGTATTGGTTAGCAAACAAAAAAATAATCTTTCCCACACAACAAAAGTAGTTCTTCATGTTTTGAAGACTGAAGGGTTTGGGTAACTTGCGTGGCCCCTGGACACTATTCACCTTGCTGAAGTGTTTTCCTCTGTATAAATGTTGCCGACAAATTTTTTTCGGCGGAATTCCTGGCAATGTTTTAGTGGTTTCGAAGCTTGTCTATAACGAAATGAAAGACCTTGTTCTGTGCAGTGCAACCTTACTTGCAAACTACGCGACAACCTTCAACAAACTGCATTATCTAATTTGTTCAAGGAGAGGATACGGTACAACTTATTGACGCGTTAACATGTATCTAATCGCATTATCAGATATCAAAAAAATAACCCTTTAGGGCATAAGTGCACTGTAATGAGGGAAAGGAGAGTAGCACCAGCGGGAGTGTCTAGCAACACTACCATGCCAGACATACTAGCTGCTTGTATGCTTCATCACATCAAGGGCATTAGGGCAACCTTCCCACCCAGCATCACCGCGTCACAGTAGTCAGTACGTAAGTTGGGGTCAAGCTCCAGCTCCGGGCCTCCCTCTATAAATCTTCCACTATGATACGTCCTTCATCCCTTGGCTATTGTTTATATCATGATGGGAACGCCAAACTCGTAGGGGTCATGTAGCGCCTTGAGGCATGGAAAGCAAAGTCGATCTAAGGTACTGTAGCTCTAATTCTTTGGATCAAGATCACTTCATGGGCGTTAGTACACCTACACTGAAGGTATGACTTACTCTAAGGTGTTAATGAAGAACACTGCAACATGCCTACTGGTCCTTACTAAGGTCTTTCTCAAATTCAAGCCCACTAACAAAAATATTTGCCCAACCCATTATCAATGCTACCCAAGGAATAAGCCTTGATAATTCTATTAACTCATGCTGTACAAAGTTCCACTCATAAACATATTTACGAAAATATAAATGGGGTTTTATAACTAAAGAATATAAAAAGCTAAGTCAATCCTTACCCAAATTAACAAGGAAGTCCAAACAACTGTTATTCTAGTAGGTTCAGTTAAAACAAGATGTGATATGTAAAAGACTTGGAACACACTCAAATCCTGGGTTCTCAGAAATTGACCAAGACCAGAGATATTAACTAAACCTAATGAACCCCATTTCCAGCCTATGAAAACAGCCAATAATCTAAATTAGAGATGTATCGGATGCGAAAATTTAGATATCCGTGGATGCTGGTGTGTATGAGGATGTCTTACTTATTTTGCGGGTGCTTATGCGGATATCTGTTTACAGTAAGATGTGCTGTATAGCCCTTGTG